TGAGCCGCCCCCCCCCCCCCCCCCGCCCTTTTTTTTTTAACCCAGGAAACTGTACATAAAGAAAATTCACCTGGAATTATGATTCAGCTCTTGGGATATATCATCCACCATGTCATTTTCTGATGCTTCGTGGGCCATGGCTTTGCAGAGTTTACAGGCCACCAGTGCTTTAGCCATAGCTTCTTCCCCATGCTGCCAAAAGAAGAGGGCCATCTTCTGACGCTTCATCAGCACAGCCCACACCATCAGCTCATGGAATGGGAAGGGGAAATGATTGATCTCAGGGTCATCCAAGTCAATATCAACTTCTTCTTCTCTTTTTTTTGTTGTTTTCCTCCCTCGACGCAAAGGGACATCATCCTGTGAGAATTGTAGAGATATTTTTTTCATCAATGAAGGAACTGAATCAATTTACACAATGCTTTGGAGTCAGTACCTGAGATGTCAAATACATTCTCTGCAGGCCAGCCTCTTCAACTTTTTTTTGACAAAATATTTAACACAGGAAAATGATGAAAAATATTTGTCCATGCATTGCAATTAAGAAGTCAGTAATACCCCCATACCTAAACACAGAGAAAAAGAGCTTTGGACTATCACTCTGAACTGTTATTTCTCCCTAGGAATACAGAGCACAATCACACAATATCCAGAACCATTTTGGAAAAGCCACCATTAACATAAAGATAAGAGTTCCTTCCAAATACATCATATAATATGTAATATATCCACTTCTTTCCACCTCCAGAAAGTACATATTCAGGGGATGTTCTGGTCTACTGAAGGCTCCCTCCCTACTTATTCTTGTGTTTTCTCCCTGTATCTTCTCACAAGAGTAGGAATCTCCTTTCCTCACTCCCATTCTGCCTTTGCCTTCCATGTTTATCGCTTCTTTCTCCAGCTCTTTCCCATTTCTACCACCTTTAGTTTCTTTCCCATTTTTGCCTACTGCTTTTATCACATGAGCTGACCTATTCTGTGCTGCATCTGCACACAGCAAAATGAAAATTTCTGTATACAATAAACAAACAAGAAAACACTACTATCTTCTTGAAGCATCGGGGTTGCCAAAAGTGTCAACAAAACTGATGATAGAAATTTGGCCCACGTAAAGATTTCTGCATCATTCTCTGCAACTGCTTCATTTCTCTGAACACATTTTAAAGTTATATAGTCATCTGATTGAAATTCTGCTTGACCAGACAGACTGAAACATTTTGTTTAATCTTCATGAAAAGAAAAATGATGCATAGAAGGTGCAGAGCCTTATTTTCTCTTGTCTATCCACCTGAGTTTTATTAAGAAATGTTTCTTAATCTGACCCTTGTGTAAATAAGTTACCTGGATGAAAAATACAATTTGCGTGGTGCATTTCTGATACAAAACTTGAAAGCAACTATTGGTGCCTTCATTACTGTGAATTTAAACATTATCTTGATATAGCCTGTATTTGTCAAAGAAAAAGACATAAAGATTTATCACAGGTCACCTACCTCCATTCCCAACAGTTTCAGGGCTTTTGGCTGTAGAAAAAAGTTAGAAAAATGTTATTTCTCCCAGAAGGGTGATGAAAAATTACAACTGTATGTGTATACATACATACATGTGTAAGCGTGTAACATGTGATTTATAACATACAACATACAGTATATAATAGACAATATATCATATAATATAGATAATA